CTTGAAAATGTAGTTTGACCTGAAAATTCTATATTTCTTTTTTATTTTTATTTGCCTACCATCTATCTAGTATGATCTATCAACCTTCGGGATGAGTTTTACTTTATGCTCCGTTTGGTACGATAAAAAAGTAGGATAAAAAGTTGGAGGAATAAAAAAAAAATTATGTTTGGTAAGGAAGGAAAGTAAGAAGGATGGAAAAGTGGATGAATTAACTTTCCTTCCAACTCACCAAAATCAATCCCTCTAAAATCAGAAGGAAAGTGAATGAAAAGTTTATTATTTGTATTGAGATGTATCTTATTTGTCTATATATCTTATGTATACATTAATTTTATATAAAAATATAATGGTAAAATATGTATATATATTTTAATAATAAAAAATTTAAATTAAAAAATATATTTTTTTTCCATCTTAACTAAGGGTGAAAATTTTAATCTCAACACGATGACACGATTCGAACTTGATATGAAAATAAACAGGTCAACTCACAATTTGACACGACACAATTAGTTAAATGAGTTAAGTTAGGTTTGACTAATATTCGACACAAACTCGTAATAACTTAACACGAATCTAACACAATATGACTCGATTTAATTGTCACCTCTAATCTTAGCCAGCATAAAGAAAAAATTAAAAAAAAAATAGTTATTTTTATTTTTCATCCATCCAACCAAACACAAAAGAAGGAAAACATATTCTTCCCACTTTCTATCCTTAAAGGATAGAAAATGTACTCTTTCTACTTTCCATTCTCCCCAAGCAGTAGTGTTTAACTAGATCTAGAGGACAATTCAAGCTTAATTGTCCCATGGTTATCAATTTTAATCCAAGTAAAGAAGACTCTTCACAAGATCCAAGATAAGTGTGGTAGAGTTAAAGAGGTGCAGACTAGTTTGTATTGTTCAATTTAAAAAAAGATGATGTATCATTATATATATGTGGATGCCTCTAAACTCTTACTTTACGGTGTAACCGTGAAAAATTTATTACTGTTAAGGATATGATTTCACCAACTACATTATAAGAGTTTGATCACAAACATTTGATTATAGATGACCTAATTACAATCTTGCTTTAACTCCAGTGCCATGCTTGACCGGAGAGAAAGGATTTTGTTGTAATAATTTTTTTTTTTGGGTCAAAAGTGATAAGTTAAAAATTAGTTTTGTGGATCATTGTCTAAACGTGTTTTACTATTTTTTGTTCTTTAAAATTATTTCCAAAAATCATATAATCAAATAAATTTTGTAATACAAAAATATCAAAAAACATTTTTTTAAAACTCTTCTAAACAATTATTTTTAGATACTATTTTTAGAGATACAAATCAAACAGACCCTAACTTTTCCCGGCATTATGTTTTTATTACAACACATGTTTTTATTTTTTTTGAACCTACTTTTCCTAGTTTATCATTGAATTATTATTAAACCCAATACAAAGTCGTCTCTTGAGTAGTAGAATTTTCGAATCTCTAACTAACTTTATTAAGACATTCATCAACTAGCTAAGCTACCACAACACGTACTTCTAACTCGTGGGAAAATGCGTTTCTTTATGTACCAAACAAAATTAAGAGAATTTTTGTGGTTTCTTAATTTAAAACATACTGGTACATTAAAACTGAGCTCTTGCTTGATGTATAACTAGTGGAATTGTGCAAAGAAATGGTGAACATAAAAAAGTGAGATAAAGACGGGGAGAGAGAAAGAGAGATGATTGAGAAGAAATGAAGTTATAGGTGATTAAAAAGAAAAAAAAAAGCAGTGGACTAAGAGGTGTCGATTGTATCATTTTGGTGTTGTGTTACTTTCGATCGTGTTATTTTTAGTACAAATTGTATGCCCGACAAATGATATGTATACATTCTCACTTTTTACAAGATAGAGAGAGAGATATAACTCCATGTGAAACTCAGTAATTGTTAATCCAAGTAAAAAAGACTTATAAATTGGTAAAGTGAAACTCAATAATTGTTAATCCAAGTAAAAAAGGCTCTTCTCAAGACCCAAGACAAGTGTGGCAGAGTTAAAGAGGTGAAGACTAGTGTGTAGTGTTTAATTTAAAAATAGATGATGTATCATTGTATAAATGGCTGCTCTAAACTCTTACTTTACAGTTTAACCGTGAAAAATTTATTCTCATGAAGGAGATGATTTCACCAACTGCATTATGAAAGTTTGATCACAAACATTTGAGATGACCTTATCACAATCTTGCTTGAATTCCAGTGCCATGCCTGACCGGAGAGAAAGGATTTTGTGGTAATAATTTTTTTTTTTTGGGTCAAAAGTTATAAGTTAAATATTGGTTTTGTGGATCATTGTTTAAACATGTTTTATTATTTTTTGTTCTTTACAACTATTTTCAAAACCATATAATTAAACAGGTTTTGTAATACAAAAATATCAAAAAACACTTTTTTAAAACTATTCTCAAAAATTATTTTCGAATACTGTTTTTAGATATGCAAACCAAACAGACCCTAGTTTTTCCCTTCTTTGACATTATGTTTTTTCTTTCAACACATGTTTTTATTTTTTCTGAACCCACCTTTCCTAGTGTATCATTGAATTATTATTAAACCCAATACAAAATAGTCTCTCAAGTTGTAGAATTTTCGAATGTCTGACTAACCTTATTAAGACATTCATACACGTACTTCTAACTCGTGGGGAAATGCATTTCTTTATGTACCAAACAAAATTAAGAGAATTTTCGTGGTGTTCTTAATTTAAAACATACTGGTACATTAAAACTGGGCTCTTGCTTGATGTATAACTAGTGGACTTGTGCAAAGAAATGGTGAACATAAAAAAGTGAGAAAAAGACGGGGAGAGAGAAAGAGATAGAGGATTGAGAAGAAAGGAAGTTAGAGGTGATTAAAAATGCCAAAAAAAAAAAAAAGTGGATTAGGAGGTGTCAATTGTGTCATTTTTGTATCGTGTCATTTTTAATACGTATTGTGTTAGTGTCGAAAAAAAAAATAACTCTAGAACATTTCATATAATACTATTAAATTTTTTTTGTCAAGTTTATAAAATACATATTTTTTGTTTATAGTACTCGTTAAATACTTGATTTATGTCTAGAGTACCAGTTAATCGTGTCATTCATGTCCAATTTTAATTTGACTCATTTAATATTTGTATCAATTAATCGTGTCATTTTTGAGTTTTATATCATGCCGAATTTGTGTCAGTTTCGTGTTAATGGATAAAATTGAGACACCTAATTGATACGAAGAGATATTTAATTTTGCTTTTTTTAAACATGTATTTGGTGTTGTTGAATGGTGGGCATGTCAAACAAGTTCTTATCTTTGTATAATTATGAGAAAAATGAAGAATTAAAAATCAATGCAAGTCAACTGAGTATTAATGTTGATGATGCACAATATTGGTTTGCACACCACCTATCAATTAAATAATAAAAAATGCAGTAAAGTAGAGGAAGAGAAAAGACAAGGTTTATAGTGGTTCAGTCAATATGACCTACGTTCACTTTGAATGACAAGGATCGTCGAAATTTTATTATCTCTGGCGTGGAGGGAGAGCACAAGATTACAAACTTTGAGAAGAGAAGAGAGAATTATGCTCAAATGAGTCTGATATCTTCCAAGTGTTGGAGGGCGCGTACAATTTATAATGACTTGGTGTAGTAATTGAATAACTAGTCTAACGGTCATAACGGATTGAAGTCGTTTTAATAATTATAATAGTAATTAAATAGTTTGGTGACCTCTCCTCTCCTCAACCGGCTTATTGAATTTGTGTCAGTTTCGTGTTAATAGATAAAATTGAGACACCTAATTGATAAGAAGAGATATTTAATTTTGTTTGTTTTAAACATGTATTTGGTGTTGTTGAATGGTGGGCATTTCAAACAAGTTCTTATTTTGTATAATATATGAGAAAAATGAAGAATTAAAAATCAATGCAAGTCAACTGAGTATTGATTTAGTTTCACACCAGTGAATTTTGTATCTATTTGGGTTATCCACGACCCGAACGGAGCCACCCAACCATTGCTAGGCTAGGCTAACCAAATTCGGATCCGACGTTGGCTCATCCGCTGACCGAAAATCTGTCGTCGAAGGACTAATTTTCCCCTCTCTAACTGGCAACAAATATCGACACACTGCACCTTTTTTTTTTCAGTCCACACACAACCCCACAATTTCAGAGCAAAGGAGTAGTCCCAGTATCTAGTCACTGGTTAGCTCTCTCTCTCTATGTGTGTGTGTGGATGTGGATGTCATTTTGTTATTGATGCATATACATGTATGTGGAGCGTTTAAAGCTTTTCCGACTTTGGATATGATTCTGTTACGGTAAAAATCGCGCGTTCGGATCTCATTCCTGAACACCAAAGATTTTGGTTGACCTGCACCATTTTCTAAGACAATATAGTAGCCTTTACCTCTCAGTCTCTCTAAGGGGGCTCAGGCTTATAAGGGGGTAGAAGAGAAGACTCACAGTCGATGTAGAACGAAGATCCACATGGGCACTGAGAGGTAAAAGTTACTATATTGCCTTAGAAAAAGGTACAGGCCGGCCAAAATTATTGATGTTCAGGAATGAGATCTGAACGCGCGATTTTTAGCTGACAGAATCTATTGGGTAATTTAAGACTGTTCCATCACCAAATGTAGTTCTGTTATAGTTTATTTTTCTTCTATTCGGTGTTGATTTGTTTGTACGATGCGGTGTTCTTCGAGTTGTATGTGTGGATTGTACTAAACCAATAAAATATTACTTTAACGAAACCATTTTTTAGGGTTTCTTGCTTGTGAGTTCTATTTTTCCGAAAAAGGGTTATTTTGATCCATAATGTATTGATTTTGGACTGCTTGGATTGTTTATTTTGTGTTGGTTGTTTTATTGGATTACTGGTGAATGAGAGCTCACACGACTAGTTGCACGGGGGTGCTGGGTTTTTACGAATTTCCCTAACTTGATCTCCAGATATTCATAGTTCTCTGGTTGGTTCGTTTAGGGAAGTATGGGGCGAAGAAAATCAAAAAGGCAGAAGCTTTTTGAAGGAGTGAAACTGCTGGAAACCAAAGATAGGATCAGCAATTTACCGAACAGTCTTATTGGTCATATTCTCTCCTTTCTTCCAACAAAATATGCCGTTCAAACTTGTGTTTTAACCACTAAATGGAAGCAGATGTGGACATTTATCAGCAATATAGACTTCGATAGTCGAGAAATTTGGAGTATTGATGATCCTTGTCATATCAGTTTTGTGAAGTTTGTCTATCGGGTGCTGCTTTTCTTGAAAGTTTCAAAAGTGAATAAATTCCATTTCAGATATTATGTTGATTGTGATGTTTCAGATGTTAATGCATGGCTTTCTACGGTACTGTCATGCAATGTTCGAGAACTCGATCTCTGCATCAGTTTGAAAGTGCCCTGTTTGCTGTCTGCTGACCTTTTTACATGCAATTCACTTGTGGTAGTAAAATTGGGCACTAAATTCGTCCTCAATGATGTTCCAAGTTTAGTTAGTCTACAGAATCTTACAACCCTACGTCTTAGTAGTGTTGAATTCAGGGATGATGAGTCAACTAAGAGGCTCTTTTCTAGCTGCCCCGTGCTTGAGGGTTTGGCTTTATATCAATGTGAAGGAAAAAGAACTAGTGTTCTCAAGATTTCGGCTCCTGCACTAAAGACTTTGTATATTTCATATCCTATGTCAGATAGTTGGGCTATTTACCATCATTCTGAATTTAGCAAGTATAAGATTGAACTCAATATCCCCGGTCTTCTATTGCTTAAATACTGGGGTCCTGTCTCAGAAGTCTACGCCATGAAGAACTTGTGTTCTCTTGTCAAAGTTGATATTCAATTTTATATAGACAGTGGATGGGGAGACTATGAATTTTATCAAAGATCGACAACTGAACTTGCTCAAGAAATATATAATGTTCATAGTCTTCATTTATCTGGTGGATCAATTGACTATGATTCTTTTCTTGCGAATAGACCCTTCAGATGTGTGAGTGCAAACTACCGGTGTTTCATAATTTGACCTTTTTGGAGCTTGGTGCTTGCTATGCTGGATGGGAATTGCTGCCAAACTTACTTGATAGCTCACCACATCTGACAACTCTTGTTTTTAAGGAGGTGGGTTAACCAGTTCTCAATTATTTTAGAAACTTTTTTGTCATTTCTCTTTTAATTGTTTCTATTTATCTGCATAGGGACTTCTACATGACGATATAATAATTGAGGATGAAATTAACACTGACAATTGGGCTCCCCCAGAACGGCTGCCTTCTTGTTTAAAGTTTCACCTCAAGATGATTGACATAGGGGAATTCGAAGGAGAAAAGTATGAGCTTAAGATGGTGACGTACTTTTTACACAATGCAAAAGTCTTGAAGACACTGAATATTCGTCTCTTGACCAAACAGAATAAGTCTGAAGTTTACAAGAAGTTATTGAACATACGGAGGAGTTCAACAAGTTGTAAAGTTGTTATTTCCTGATTAAGTTTGTCTGATTATCCACGCAGTGGAAGGGATAATCTACTTTGTTGGTTAATTAGCTTATGGAACATACGCATGATGAAGATGATGTTGATAGCAAAGAACTTTTGAATATCAGTAAGTATATTTCTTGCTTTACTTTTGATATGGAGAAAAAAACTGATTAATGCAATGCATTTGCCTGCTACATCGTTTTTTCCGGCTCTGATCTTACTTCCTGGAGGTTTGGTCTGTTCTTCCCCTTTCAATTTATTTGGAGGAGACGAAAATATCAAACACTCGTAACTCTCTACTGCCCCTGAATTGTACAAAATTGTGGTGGCCTAATGGCCAACCGCCTGGCCGTTAGATAAAGTCACAGATTTGAACCTCACCCACCCCCACCCCCACCCCATGTACAAACTATACAAAAAAAAAAGTTTTTTAATGATGTATAACTGCTGTGATGATGGTGAATATGGAAAAGTTTTTATTATCGCCTAGATGGGGTGGGGTGGGGTGGGGACTGACTCAAAAAAAAAGAGAGTTTATTTTTACTTTTTACAAGTTTTTAATGGAACAAGTGATAAATCTTCTCTTCTGTTGGATTATGAGCGAGTTTTATCTAATTTTAAATTCACAATTAATTCAATAATTAAAATAAATTAAATTTTCAAATTAAGTATTTATAGCATTAAATCATATGTGAATCCCAACTCATTCATAATTGAATTCGAATTTGGATAAAAACCGACTGGTGGCCAACCTCTGGTCACGATTCGACGTTTACTCTTCTGCTTCCTGAATCTGCCTTTACGACATCTGAGCTGTGTAAGTGGTCATATTCCTACTCTATCACCTTGTTAAATCACGTACATACTATCAGGCGAGGCCTTTAATGATTCTTCTACATCTGTTAAATCAATTCTCTTCACCTGGAGGCCTATATAATGCTAGTCCCATGAACACCCTCTTCCTCAAACTGTGTGAATAACAACAGAGGAACTCTGTCTGGCCACCATTACAGCTCTGTGTGATCAACATAGAAGAAACTCGCATACCCATTTGGCCACTTATCCCCTTGGATCATTATACATTATCTGCAATTGTTTGAGGATGTACATTGTATAGGGTAAAGCTGATGGCCCCAACTTGTCGAATGTGCGTAAGTGATGATTTTCTCGATTCATATGCATACACACATGGATTTGTGGTGTTTGAATCTTTTTAACTTTGAGTATGTCGTATTTTGTAACTTAAAGTTGTTCCTTTGCCTAAGATTGTTCTCTTCTGCTTTTATGTGTGTTGTTTGGTTATTAGATTTTTGGTGAATGAGTGATCACAGTAATAGAATTACAGTGGTCCAGAACTGTGCTCCATTACAGCTGCCCTTAACACTGTAGTTGGTTCGGTTAGAGACGTAATGGGGTCAGTATCTAAACTCCAGAGTCTTTTTGAGGAAGTGAAATTGAACGAAACGGAAGACAAGATCAGCAATTTACCAGCCAGCCTTATTGGCCATATTTTATCCTTTCTTCCGACAAAATGTGCTGTTCGAACAAGCATTTTATCCAACAAACGGAAGCACATGTGGACAATAACCAGCAATCTAGACTTGAAATATGATGATCAGAAACTTTCAAAACCCCGAAGGAGTAAAGATGATCAGCGCCATATGAGTTTTGTGAAGTTTGTCAATCGGGTGCTGCTTTTACTGAAAGTCTCAAAACTGAACAAATTCCGTATTAGAGATCATTTCGCTTGTGATGTTTCAGATGTTATTCCCTGGCTTTCTGCAGCACTGTCACGTAATGTTCGAGAACTCGAGTTCTACGGCTCGTTGAAAGGATTGTTTTTGCTGCCTGCTGACCTTTTTACTTGTAATTCACTTGTGATACTAAAATTGGGCCGTAGATTTGTTCTCAATGACATTCCAAGTTCAGTTTGTCTACTGAATCTTAAAACCCTCCATCTTGATTCAGTTGGATTTAGGAATGATGAATAGACTAAGAGGCTCTTCTCTAGCTGCCCTATGCTTGAGGATTTGGCTTTACTTGAATGTGAAGGAAAAATCATTAGTGTTCTCAAAATTTCAGCTCCTGCACTCGAGTTTGAATATATCATATCCGTATAGTTGGACTAAGTAGAATTGGGAATTTGGAAAGTACAAGATTGAGCTCAATACCCCTAGTCTTCACTGCCTTGAATACTCTGATCCTGTATCAGAAATCTATGCCATGATGAACTTGCGTTCTCTCGTCAAAGCTCATATTCAATTTGCTGTATCGGGTCAATCTTGGGCAGACGTTGCATTTTATCAAACATCGATAACTCAACTTGCTCAAATAATTTCTAATATTCAGACTTTTCAAATGTCGGGTGAATCATTTAAGGTTAGCTTAGCGACTTTTTTCTGTTCAAAGGAAATGCGATTCATGTCTTATAAACCATCCATCCCCAGGATCGGCCATGCCTTTTTTATTTCTTCTTATGTGGTTCTTTCAGACTTCAATTGACTATGATTATTTCTTTGCGTGTAGCCCCTTGACGTGTTTGACTGCAAACTACCTGTGTTTTGATAATTTGACTTTTTTGGAGCTTGATGCTGGCAATCTTGGAGGGAAATGGCTGCCAAACTTGCTTGATAGCTCACCACAACTGAAAACTCTTGTCTTTAAGGAGGTGGGTTAACTAGTTCTCGATTATTTAAGAAACTTTTGTCTTTTGTCTTTTAATTGTTTCAATTTATCTTCTTTGGGATTTCTTCAGAACAAACATAGTTGCGATGATTTGGCTCCCCCAGAGCGGGTGCCTTCATGTCTAAAGTTTCACCTCAAGATGATTGAAGTCTTAAAGACTCTGAATATTCGTGTCCGGATGACCAAACAGGAAGAGTGTGAAGCTTTGAAGAAGTTATTGAGTTGTAAGAGCATCTCTAACATATGCTTCAAATGTCAAAAATAGGCAAATTTTAGCTAATCAAAGTCAAAAATAACACTCCAACAAAATATGTTCATATGCCGAAAAATAGATTTTTGCTACAGTGATATTCTATATGCTCTAAATATAGAGTATCACTATAGCAATATGTAAACATAATATATATTATTTTCTCTCTTTCTATAATTTCATCCATTCTCTTCCTTTCACTATTCCCAAAAAATATAATACAAAATAGATGATAAAATAATATTTAAAATGAGTAGTTAAAAATATAGAAAATTTGTTGGAGTGTGTATTGAAAAAAAAATAGCTAAAATAGAAAAAATTGCTTTTTGGGTAGCTAAAATAGCTACTATTGTTGGAGATGCTCTAAAATTGTTATTTCGTAGTCGAATAGGCACTTGCCCCCCTCACTTTTGGATTATCTTGGATATGGACGCATAAAATTATTTTACACATTATATTTGTCCCCTTAATTTTTTGAAAATTTCAATGGTTCTAATCTTTTTTTTTTTTCAATAAATTAGTGGATCACCAACCCTCTAAAATAAATGTTAGTTTTGGATTGAGTCAATAATCTATTTGTATATTGACAAATATACAATATTTCTATTTATCTATCACAATATTCGTTACTTTTTAAGAATAATTTTAGTTTTCATTTACCATTTTTTAAGTAATAGTAATCTATAACCTAATAAAACACAGTTGTATACAAAAGACAAAAGATTGTAATTCAAAAATATTTCAAACTATTTCAAATATGGAATTTCTCTATAAGATGATAATAATCTCAACCAAAATTTGCAACTAAATAAAGAATAATTTTACTACGGATTTGTGATTGTGCACATTGATAGAAAATTAGTGAAAAATTAATTTACATTTAATTCATATATAAAATTTTAGAGATTTTAAAATTTTTATATTTTATTGAAATATATAATTAGGGTAAACTGTATTAAAAAAATTATTTTGTGTCTTTTTATTAGAATTTTGTTTCGGCTAAACAAAAATTGAATTTACTATTTCATAATAATTTTGTCTTGATTCTTACTTTTTTGTTATTCTTAAACTAATTTTTCTTTGTATCAATTTCAAGTAAATATTTTTTTTATACCAGTTATGTTTTGCCCTCCTCTTAGACATTCATGGCTCCGCCCCTGATAATATACATTTTTTTTGGTATTTTTTATGTTAAATGGAATTCATGTATTAAATATAATATAATAAATATAAATATATTATATATGTGATTGATTAGGAAAAAAAAATATTAGGGTGCACAAATAAAGTGTCCATCCTGAGTAAAATTCTTGGCTCCATTCCTGCGTACGATGGAGATGTTGTTTATAGCAAAGAACTTTTGGTTATCAGTTAGTATGTTTCTTAACTTCGATAAATGCAATGCATTTGGCTGTTGCATCGTTTTTTATTGCACTGATCTTACTTCCTGGAGGTTTGGATTCTTTCCCTTTTACCCCCGAGTAGTTTATCAGACAAATTGATACCTTTATTAGTGGAAGATCAGAAATTATTTTCATCACAAGACTGATCGAAAATTGAGCAAAGGCAGCCACTTTGCGATATTGTGTCAATTCAAGTTTTTAACTACTGCAAACTTGTTTCATATCTTTCAACTGAGCGACAGACCTGATGCAACTGAAATATAGCTGACGTTAATAGTATGTCTAAATCCGCGACAAAAGTGGTCTATGACACTCGCCACATATACATATCTCGGAAGCACCCATTGCAGCAGCCCCCCCTAGAGCGATGAAAGAAAAAAACATTGTTGTCCATTCATTTTGAAGGTATTTGTGTATGTGTGTGCTTGGTATGATCTCCTTCCAATCTTCCTTGGTGTGAATTATTGGTCCATTCATTGCTCTCACGAAGTTGTGTGAGGAAACATTAATGCTACCTTACTATGTGTTACGGGATAACAACTTGTTTTTCTTTCGAAGTTATTTGTAAAGGCGTTGTCATTGCAACCAGTCACACAAACTCAATAGTAGATACACACAAACTCACACAAAGGCATACACAAATTTACTAGGACAACACTCTCAAACCTTATATATTGAAGCTCTCTACAATTTACAAGGAAACTCAAGCAAGAACACTCTCTGTCTCACCAAAATGCCCAAGCACCCCTATTTATAGTGAGGTGTCTCTAATTAAATTCGAACCCGTAGAGGGTCTCTCTCCCACCTCCATCCAACAGTCCGGAGAACAGCAAGGCCACCCGTAAAGTGCCTCATAGGGTGTCATCTGTATGCTTGCCTGATAACTGTTGCTGTAGGCAAACTCCACTAAGGGTAAATGCTCTTTCCAGTTACCCTTGAGATTTAGGGCGCATGCCCGCAGTATGTCCTCTAATATCTAGATGGTCCTCTCCGACTTTCCGTCTGTCTGGGGATGAAATGTTGTACTCATCGTCAATTGAGTCCCCATAGCCTGTTGGAAGCTCTCCCAAAAGTGGGCGGTGAACCTGGGATCCCGATCCGATACTATAGATATGAGCACCCCATGTAACTTGACAATCTCCCGTATGTACAGTCTACAAAATTCCTCCAGTCGGGAGGTCATCTGCACTGCCAAAAAGTGCGCCGACTTGGTAAGCCGGTCCACTATCACCCACACCGTATCATGTCCCTGCGATGTCCGTGGCAAGTGAGTCACAAAATTCATCGTGATATGCTCCCACTTCCACTCAACTACCTCTAAGGGTTGGGGTAACCCTACTGACCTCTGATGTTCAACCTTAATCTGCTGACATGTGAGACATCGTCTGACAAAGTCTCCAATGTCTCTTTTCATCCCGCTCCAATAATACTGGCGATGAAAATCATGATACATCTTTGTGCCACCTGGATGCACAGCAAAACGAGAGCAATGAAACTCTTTGAGAATCTCCTCTCTCAACTCTGTGGACTAGGGAACCACAATCCTTCCCCTAAATCGAAGACTACCATCCGAGTGGATGGCCCAGCCCTCGTCACCCGTACATGCCTGTACCCGGTCCCTAATGGATGATAACTCTACATCCTGTCCTCGGGACTCAATCACTCTACTCAGTAGGGAAGGTGTAGCCACTAAACTTCCCAAAGTACCCTGAGTCTGATTTTCATAGTGTGGCTCGAACTGCCCTACAGTCTTGAGCATCTGCCACTCTCTGTAAACTACACTAGCCAAGATCTCTTGTGACTTCCGGCTAAGTGCATCAGCCACTATATTTGCTTGACCGGGATGGTAATGCAAAGTGAAGTCGTAGTCTTCCAGAAACTCCATCCACCCGCGTTGCTTCATATTGAGGTCCCATTGTGTAAAGATATACTTCAAACTCTTGTGGTCCAAAAATACCTCAAATTGCTCACTATATAGATAGTGGCGCTAAGCCTTCAAGGCAAAGACAATGCCTCCAACTCCATGTCACGTGTGGGGTAATTCTACTTGTGGTTCTTTAACTACCAAAAACCATAAGCCACCACCCTCCCGGACTGCATCAATACACAATTGACTCTGTCTTTCGAGGCATCACAATACACTGTGTACCTCTGTCTCCTTTTCAGAATTATTAGAATAGGAGCTAATGTAAGCCTCCTCTTCAACTCCTGGAATGCCTTCTCGTAAGAATCATTCCATTCAAACTTGACTCCTTCCGGGTCAATCTCGTCATAGGCGCAACTAATCAGGAGAAGTCCTCGATGAATCTCCGATAATACCCTGCCAATCTCAAGAAACTGCGGATCTCGAAAACTAACTTCGGTCTCTCCCAATTCATAACCACCTCAACCTTGTCTGGGTCCACAGATACACCCGAAGTCGACACTATATGTCCCAAAAATTTCACCTTCGTAAGTCAAAATTCACACTTGCTGAACTTGGCGTACAACCGATGATCACTCAAGGTTTGGAGAACAACCCTCAAGTGACCCTTACGCTCCTCCTCAGACTTGGAGTAGATCAGGGTGTCGTCAACAAAGACCACGACGAACTGATCAAGGTAGGGTTGGAACACCCTATGCATGAGATCCATAAATGTCGTCGGGGCATTCGTCAATCTGAAGGGCATCACTGAAAACTCAAAATATCCATACCGCGTCCGAAATGCCATCTTAGGGATATTAGTCTCCTTAACCCTTAACTGATGGTAACCGGTGTGGAGATCAATCTTGGAGTAGACTCATGCCCCTCTAAGCTGATCAAACAAGTCGTCAATCATCGGCAAGAGATATCTATTCTTGATAGTAATCCTATTCAATTACCGATAATCTATGCATAGTCAAAGAGTTTTGTCTTTCTTCTTGGCAAACAACACCAGAGCGCCCCAAGGTGAAGTGCTCGGTCTAATGAAGCCCTTGTCCAATAATTCTTGCAATTGGACCTTGAGTTCCTGCAACTTGGCTGGTGCCATCCTATGTGGAGTCATAGAAATAGGCAACGTACCGGGATGTAACTCAATGTTGAAGTCTACATCCCTATGTGGAGGTAATCCTGGTAGTTCGTCCGAAAAAACATCCTCATACTCAGACCCAACTCTTATCTCGCCTCGTCCTCCAGGTAAGGCTTGCAAGTCAATCCATCAACTGTCCGTGCCATCTTGAGTCATACACGGCTTGGGGTAAAGCATCATGCTTTTCCCCTGGAACTTAAAACAGACACCGTCAGGTGTGTAAGCAGTGACCCTCTTCCTATCACAATCAATGACGACTCGATGTGCCGTCAACCAATCTATCCCGAGGATCACATCAAACTTCGATATGTCCTTGACCCTAAGGTCCACGTGAGTAAAATCTCCGAGATCTCTAACTTACAGTTCTGACATATCTGATCAACTCTCACCCTAGCTCCAATGAGAGAACTCACATGCAGTGGCTTTTTCAAGGTCTCAACCTCTAAGCCCAAGTCATTCACATAAGATACAACAATAAAAGAATGCGATGCACCAGAATCAAATAATACTCTAGCTCATAAGCGAAAGAGTAAGAATGTACCCTATATCACCGATGAATCTGTCGGCTCAGTTTGTGGCACCCTGGCGTAGACACACCCCTGAATTCCCGAAGTCCCGACTTGTGAGCCCTAGCCTCGACCTCGACCCCGACCCATGCCCTGGCCCATTTGACCTGATTTTGGAGTCCCCGCCCTTGTAATGGTAGGAGCATGAGTAGTACCTTGGAACTAGGGAGGAATACACTGTATCTACAGTTGTCCCACCGATGACTAGGAGTGAGACATCCAATAACTCTGGGTTCCTTGCCTCTGTAGGCAATCTCGCTTCATATGACCCGGTTGGTGGCAGTAGAAACATGTTTTCTGACCCACCTGATATGTAGTCCCCTGGTTTCTCCCGCCTTGGAAGGATTGACCTTGCCCTTGGCCCTGATAGTTACGGCTCTGTCCTTGCGTAGGAAAAGTCTTCTACCTCTTTCCTAAGCTAGAAGAAGAGGATTGATCCTTCTTCTTCTTGTCCTTGGCATCAGACTCTTGGATGCTCCTTGCGTCCTCAATCTCTCTCTCAATGGTCATAGCTGTGGTGACCATTGAGTCCAAGTCTTGCAGAAGAAGACCCATAATTTTGCCTTGGATGGACAACTTCAAGTCATCCTCAAACTTCTTCACCTTGGCCATATCTGTGGCCACATAATCATCAGCAAAACGTGCTAATTCTATGAATTTAGCCACGTATTTCATCACTGTCATGGTTCCTTGTTTCAAGTCTAAAAACTCTCAGGCCTTTGCATGTCTAGCAGCTGCCAGAAAGTACTTTCCCATGAAGAGTTCCTTGAACTCTACCCAAGTCATAGCCTCCAAGTTCTTGGAGTCCTTCACCCAATCCCACCACAATTGGGATTCTCCCTCCAGCTGAAACGTAGCTAGGGTTATCTTCGTGGCGTCGAAGGTGATCTCCATAACCCTCAATACCTTATTGACTTGTCATAACCAATGGTCAGCCACCATCGAGTCCGTCCCTCCCTTGAATACCAGAGGTTTATGTGCTTTGAACTTCTGGAGGTTAATCCTGCCTCCTTGTCCCACATTTGCACCCATCTATGCAACATTAGTAGCTATAGCACTATTTTGTGCAATCGTAGCAGCCGTCGTACCAATAGCCTCCACAAAGGCTTGTTGGTCAAAAGTCGGTGGTGGTTGGTTGTTCTGTCCACCCCGACGTCCCCCCCTCTAGTTGCCATCTACACACATGCCAAATAGCAATAGAGCATTTATTTAGTATCTCATGATAGAGACCAAACTTGAAATATTGAGATTTATCTCCTTGTCTCCCTAGTAGAGTCTACACCCCAACTAGTAAACATTTATACCTTGAACTATCTCGTTCATTTCTTTTCCAACCCCCAAGGTTATGTTTTCTAACGCTAGTGTCCCTTTTCATTTACATTTTACCATGTATATCATTCACATAATCACATAGCACGTAATCATATAACACAAAGTAAGCACATAAGATGAAATGTACAATGCAT